TCAAGAGTTACACCTACGAGATTTGGAGTGACAAATGGCATCAGCTTTTGGGGTTCCTGGAGTCTTCACCTGTCCACTGTCACATCTGAAAAGGATAGATCAGAAATTAATCATTTATTAACAGTTTGAGTTTGTGACCGAGAGACTTATTACTATGGTATTGATATGTGACTGATCCACTCACACTTAACCACTAGATATTCAGATTCATTAATATGAGATGCAAAAAAAAAAATGGAGTCAGACTTGCCTGGTGTACTGTTTACAGGGGGAGAAGTAATCTGTGACATTGCTAAAGGTCCCATTTCCACATGGAGCACAGACTGTGTCACTTTTTGAAGTAGCTGCAAAAATAAAAAAAGCTGAAGGCAGATCTGATATATATATATATATATATACGGTATATATATACACTGTGATGAGAAGCCGTGCAAGAAACCAAGCAGCTTATGCAACTTACGTTGATTTTTGACTCCTTCACCCACAGGGCACTTGGTCCAGTCCTCGCAGTGCTCCGACAGCAAGTAGAAACCTGACTTACACTCACAAACTGTGTCCCTCTCAGTGGTGCAGTTACTAATCTTCTGTATGTTTGTAGCTGTAAAGTTAAAAAATAGAGATTATCTCTTGTTATCTTGTGATTTGAAGGTGTTAAAAGTTGTCTGCATGACTGTGGTTGGGTGGGTGGGTTACAGTTCAAACTGTCTTTACTACCACCCACACTATACATCTAAAACTTTTCACCAGTCAGATTCACACTGCAGATACTTTCAAATTAGCTTAAACAAAAAATGTTCCACTGCTGCTTTAGAATCTGTACTTCTATTAAAAACATTTTTACTGTAAGACTGCTTGCAACCTCACAGAGTTAATAGGTTTTTCTGTTTGTTGTCATATTTTAATATTTTAGGTCACTCAATAAAGTAGTTTTCAAATGATGATTTAATTTATAAACGGAAGCTTTTTACCCTTTGAATTCACTTTGGTTTACCATATTTTAGTTAAAATGAACCAGCTACATCCAGGATGTAAGTTAACAAATGTTAACTAACTATTTAAGTTAGCAAATAATTTTTATAGAACTTTTCTGACCGCATAGTAAACTCAGAGGTCACAAGAAGCTGCACATAAGAAGTCAACCTAAAAGATAAGAGTTTCTAGAACAGATTAGGAGCAAAGTCCTTCGCTTCCCCAAGTCTGGAAAAGGTTAAACAGGTAACCATAATTAGAGCATTTATCCACAAATGGAGAAGACACGGATCAGAAATTACTCTGAGAGCATCATTGACTCATTCAAGGGGTTAAAAAAGAGGCCAGAACACCAACTGAAGAACTCCAGATCTTGGTTGCTGAGGGTCAAAGTTCATGATTCAATAATAAATGAAAGAAACTGGAGAAAGATTGTGCCCATGGTAGAGCTCCAAGGGGAAGAGTACTGCCAGAGAGAAACAGGACTTTGATTGTTCCCAAGAACTCTGGGAATGATTGAGACAGCAAGGATATAAGGGAAAGGTGAGCACACTGTAATACCTGCAGTGGTCTAATGGTCTAAGGCTGCTTTTATGTTTCAGGACAACTTGCTTTAAATTTGGAAATCATGCATTTTACCCTCAAGTAAAAAATCATGAAAATGACAGTCCTGGCCTCCATTCATGAAAAAAACAATATCTTCAAAATTGAATAAATTAAAGGTTTTGGACAAGGGTATAGTCAAAGTCTGGTCTTGAATGGGATTTAGATGCAGTTATTTGTACTTTAACAAGTGGTTGATGCACAAAAACTATCAATTTGACCCATTAAAGCAAACCGCAAAGAACAGTGGTTAGAAATTCCTCCCCAGCTATCTAATTTTCTCAGGATCTCTTTGTTGATATTTACATCAGTTTAATGATCTGAAACAATACCTGTGACAAAAACAGGAAATTTATAATGTGGCCAAACACTTTCATTCCCAGCGCAGTGAGCTGAGCTTGCAAAATAATTAGCACGGCTCAATAAAAATAGAGCAATGGGAACAGCAGGGAAAAATGATTCACTCATCTGCTGTTCTGTTACTGAACATGTGTGACCGACCACAGGTTTACAGAGGAGGGCAGAGTACCACAGAATTTTACTCAACTAAGAGTAACACCACTTCATATGTTTACTCAAGTAAATTTAAAAAGTAGTCATCCAAGAAAGTAGGAGTAAAAAAGTATTTAGTAAAAAGGCTATAGAAGCACTGAGGTACTCATCAGAAAATCTGATTTACTGTTTCAATTTTTTCAATAAGACAAACCGAAATATAGTTCTGTCCAAAGTGTGTTATTTCAAAGGCTTCAAGAAAATAATAAAAATAAATGAATACTATAATTAAAAAATAGCAAAGGTTCTGTTTGTCATAGAAGTTATGACACCACTCCTGACAGTAGGTAATGTAGACCTGGCAGAACCATATGAAGTACGTTCACTGACAGTATTTACTTGTTAATTTAAATTAGCTTGACCTCCAAACTTTTCAGGGTAGGTTCATCCTAAGTAAGCTTGTGTACAAAAAGAAAAGCTCATTCTAACATGACGTATTAACTGTGTGTGTTTATGGAGCATCTATAGTTTAAAACAAGGCTTGCTCGTTTTCCATTGACCTTACTAACAGTGGACAGAGTAGCTAAACATTTTGCAAATTCTAAGAGTAGTGACATTTTCTAAAGGTTTTACATTAGTAAAAGTATGGTGCAGTAAAAGTACTTTTTGTCAAAAAGTTACTCAAGTAAATGTAACTGAGTGAATGTAACTGGTTACTACTCACCTCTGCATATTGTACACTTAATACATTGTTTGAGGTTGTTCCAATCCTCTGTGAACGTCCCTTCGGGACAAGAGCTACAGATTGTAGAATTTGTTTTATTGCAGTCTTCCTTTACGAATTTTCCTGAGAAGCAAGATTTAAAATAAAAAAAAGGGATACATTCTTTCGTAGAGCAATTTCTCCAAAAAAAGAACATTTAAAAAAGATTGAGATGTTTACTGACCTGCAGGACATTTGTCACAGCATTTCCCATCTTTAAAATACTGCCTCTCATTGTTGCAATCCTTATTTGCCATTAGTCTGCGTTTGATCACAGCCTTTAAGTTGTTTGCAGAAGTTCAAGCCTTCAGTTTCCCTTTACACTCTCTGATTAAACTCCAGCTCTGTTTACTATGAAACACGCTCTTCTCTCTTTCTCGTATGATTTGGCTTTGGCAGCAGATTTCTTTTCCCTCCTCACTTTTTCTGATCCTACACAATGGAAAGCCCCACTGACCCTCATCTGCTGTTTTCCCCTCCGCTTTTACGTCTCTGTGAGGCGGACCTCGTTTCCTTCCTGTACCAGCTCTCTGTCTCTCTGGAGGCTTGAACTCTGTCTGTTTCCGCAGCTATAAAACCAAAGGCGCACTTTCTGCTGAACCCTTTTTGTAACTGAGACATTTCCTCCCCCGGTTCACCCTCTCCTTCATTGTTTGAAATAAACCGTCATTAAAGCACTTCTGTAACACTGCAGATGTAAAACAAGTTGTTCTTGTTCCAGGTTAGAGAAATGAGTCTCTTGAATGATTGGTTAGTCCTGTTGATCAAGAAAAGATTTCCCAGGTAACTTAATGTTTGCAGATTTAATTTGATATCTCTTGTTCTGTGCCCTGCTTGTTTTACTGTCACTAAATCATGAACATTAACAAAAGTACCAATGCAACTTTGTCTTCCTCTTTTGAAAAACAATGACTGTATACATATTACAAGAAAATAACTTTATATTTCCCCCAGATTTTTTAATACAAGGAGAACCAAAGTCAAATACCTCACGTGTGCACAAACTTTCAAATTAAGCTTGTTTTTGAATTTGGCTGAGAGAAATAAAGTCTGTAAAAAGAATGCTTTCAGTCCTGAATAATTCCTCTGTAATAAAGCATTACAGAGCTGAGGGGCATAGTAACAAAATCCTGGCTCACTTTGTTTAGTTCTGGTACTGGGAACACTAGTTAGCAGGTCTCCAAAGAGCTGAGAAGTCTACATCGTTCCTTCTTAAGAAATTGCTCAATTTGTTTTGAGCCAATTATACTGATTTCTTCATAGACCAGCAGCAGGATTTTGAAATCAATCCTTTTATCCCACCAACAATCTGTTCAGCAGATTGCTTACATTTTTTGTCTCCAGAATGCTGCTGCAAACAACACATGGATTATATCACACATATTCTTATCCTTCTACACCTACTCCCTGTTTATTAATTTGACTCTATAACCCAGAGATGGTTAGAATGAGACAAACTGAATTTGAATGACTTTAAAAAGTTCTATTCATATATGTCTTTTAGCTTTCTTTCTTGCTTTTCATCTTTAACTACCAGTCATCTAATGAAATCATTATTCCAATAAAAGCACCTGTGCCTTCATCACCCACACCGCTCAGGTGTGGCTCACCTCTGCCACTGCATTCTCACAGAAGCACACTTGGGTGTGTGTGTGTGGATTGATGGATGGATGCAATGGTTGCAAAGTCTCAGCATCATTAAATGTTTCTCCATAATGTCTCTCTGAGGTTAGCTGCATCCCAAAACGTAAAAATACCTGCTTAAAATTTTCCAGACTGATAGATTTTTGACTTTATTTCAATCTATTTGCTCAATGTGTTGGTTTTTCAGAGTATTTACCCCTTGCTAAGTTAGCAAACATGTTCTTCATAAGTTGTTTCTTGATGCCACAAGTTTCCAAATAATCAGGCCTGGACCAGATTTAACTCAGCTCATTGCTGATTTGTAATTTAACAAGGTATACAGACGAAATCCTAAATCAATCATTGCTTTTTTGTGTTTATACAGATATATAGTGGTTATTATTCTCTTTCCCAGCAATTTGCACACATGATTGTACACAAATAGATTCATAAATGCTTACGGTTGCAGCTTATAACTTAGAGAGGAAGAAGGAAAGCAGGAGGGGGAGAGAAGAGAGAATAAATAATGTTAAAAAAGAGGGAAGGAGAAATGCAGAGAGTTCATAAGAGGAGAGATTTGATCGGCTTATGATGTTCAGACTAAGGTGGGGCTGGATTTTTGCATTTTTTTAAACGAATATAATTTAATGCTAAAATCAGTAGTTTAATTGTCTGCTTTAGTGTCTTATTTTTGCGTGAAATTATAGAGGAGATATGTTAGCTATGTTAAAAAGACTAGTTTTACTTGATTTTGACTTGTCAGCACTTTTAAATTATTTTATTTATTGCTTTCTGCTAAATTATGTGAATCTTAAGGCCATCTTCATTGTCTGTTTTGATATTTAACCATTTATTTGTGTGAATGTGTACACTATTGTTTTGAATGATGCATAAGATTCATATGGCATAAGGCCATATGAACCATTAAGTCTGTTCCTGTGAACAAACCTTTGCATAGAAGATGGTGATTTATCATGGAGGTCACTATTACACTGACCTGTGTCAACTTTTATTGTAGTTACATGGATCAATAGGGTAAGTAGGATGTGGCATGGTACCAAGCTTCACTGAGCTCCCAGTAAACGCTCTATATTTTGTAGATACTCAGTTAGCAACAGTTTTTAGTTCTTCTTTTTTTCTTTTTTTTTTACAAAGTACATTACCAAGCCCTGTGGTGTCTGTTGGTTTGGTTTAACACTTCCCAAAATTAAGTTTTTCTTTGTAACTGACATGCCAACATGACATTCATCGCAGTTCTTCTTAAAATGCCTTACAGCTTAAAGATTAAAGATTGTGTTCTTTATAAAGGATGTCTTTAGTAAAATGCAACTGATCAAGTAATTTCCAAATTTCAGCAGTTTGTAAACAGGAACTATTTTGCAGTTTTTAAAGTCTTCTAAACTTTACATGGAGCCATTGGAAACAAAGTGCATTTCATTTCTAGAATAGAATAAAATAGAATATAATAGAATTGAAAATCCCTTTATTGTCCCATAATGGGTAAATTCTGCAAAATTTAAAGAGGTAGTTTATATTTTGAGCATAATAAAGCTGTATTTTCTGCTTATTAACCTTGCTGAAGTAATTTGATAGTGAAGCATTAATGAAGGACACATAAAAAGATCTGTTAAATCAACCGGTTTGAGCTAAATGGCTAATTTATGAGTCTCAAATTGAATGTCTTGATATATTTACAGATTCAGCAAAAAGATTGTGAACAAGTACAGTATGAGTAACATGCATCAATTCGGTTTATGTGTAGATACAGCTGCAACTCCTCTCTTCATCTTATAAACCTAAAGTATGTATGTCTGAACAATTCTTTGGTCAGAGTGAACTCTGATGTAGTATTTAAAAAAGTAAAGGATCAAAGTAAAACCTCAAAAAAGATGGACCATACCTGCACATTTGTACATATTGGTATTATATAGTTTTTTTTGTGTTATACCTTTGGATCTCTTTTTACTTTTTTTTTTTTTTTTACTTAGCATTGTTTTTTGTACTGATAATGTGAGCCATGGATAACTCCATGTTTGTGCACACAAACTTGGCCATTAAGGTTGATTAATCTTCCACCTGAAGATATGTTAAGCCAGGACACAAGACTGCATTAAGAAAAACTTGGGTTGGGGGTGGTGTAAATGTGTTGTCGGGCTTTTACAGTGAATTTCTCCAGTTGCTTATATATAATAATATCCTCTTTGTAATTTTAACATAATTGTTCTATAAAAAACAATTTCTTTCAGTCTCTTTCTCCTTCTGCTGCCCTGCTCCTCATATTCCATCCTATTGGGATGGGTGGAGTCTCCTGGGTATCCAATGGGCTATTTGCCTCATGCCAGTTTAAACTGGAGCAGGTGTGCCCCCAAAGGTCAAACCATCTCCATCAGACTGATCCACCTGGACTTGGAGAACAGCCAAGACTGTGAAAACGATGCTGTTAAGGTCAGGCTTGATTAAAAAACAAACATAAAAACATTTGTTTTCCTATCTTGTTACAGTAAACTGGAGTGAGTCCTAAATATTTTTCCTCTCCCGTGTTTACACCCAGATCTTTTCAAATGGGAACCTGATAGATGTTTTGTGTGGGAAGAAGGAATATGAGGAGCTTCAGGAGATGGTGAATCCATTGTTGTTCTCTTCCCCCGGTGGCTGCCTCACACTTTTGTTTCACTCAGACTATTCCAATACCAAGAGACACACTGGCTTCAGAGGATTTTATACGCTTCAAGGTGAGACTCTGCAGAGAAAAATCAGCAATATATGACAAACCAGGAGGGTGAACTTTAGCCAACTCTGTAGTTTCACATTCAGCAGAAACTTATAGCTTTCTTCATGTCTAGTTCAGACATCCTGTTTACCTTTTTCAGAAGAAGGTCATATTTATTTTTAGACAACAAGAATTGGCAGCCAAAACACAATTGGGGAAGATTTTTATTTTTTCAATTTTATGTTGTTGTTTTTTTGTTTTTTTTTATATCAGTATATCAATACTTTAATGCAGGGAGGGGAATGATTGTTTACATCTTTCCTTACAAGATAAGTTAGTTAAGATAAGTTTTAATTGTAAAACTATATTGAGATTAAGGTGAGATTGTTATTTAGAATTTAGGTAGTAATCAGATCTAATTTGCTTATTAATGGTTAATTAACAAGGTAGTCAATTTCGCCTTTTCTATAAAGCTCTTTTTTCACCTTGTAAACTCAGGTTACTTCTGTCAGCTAACTATATGTACTTCTTTCTATTCTTTCTAAGGGAAAGAGACAGAGAAACAGAGCAGGAGTCTTTGCATAATATTTGCACCGGTCAGACATTTTATTGCAAAACATTAACTAAAGTCGTATGCAATTCGGATTTTATTATGTGTAAGTCATGCAAATCATGAAATAATGAGGCTTAACATGGTTTCAGATTAGGCAGAATGGTAAGGGCTTTTTCCTCACCCGTAGCATATCCTTTGAAATATCCATTTGAAATTGTTTTAAAGCTGCTAAATCAGTTATAGACAGTTTGTAATTTTGGCACATTTACATGTTTGTTAAATTAAAACATAACATTTGGAAAATGAAATACAAACAGACAGCAAAGATGTTAATCTTAACCAGTGCTGTGACGATGGAAAATAAAGGAAACTATTTAATAATATAGGGATAAAAACTTAAAATAAGTAAAAAACAAAATTTTTAACATTTAATATCTGTTTTTCTCATACAGAATCTAAACATAGAAAATGGTGAAACTCCTTTTTATACTTTTACAGACTCTAAGACCAGATAACTTCACCCTTACCTAAAATATATGATTTATATGATTTTTCAAATCTTTTTTTTTTTACTTTGAAGACTTCAACGAGTGTGAAGACCAAAACAACGAATGTACTCATTTCTGTCACAATTTCATCGGAGGATACCACTGTTCCTGTCGTCATGGTTACTACCTCGCCGAGGACAATCACACTTGTACGGGTAAGGGAAAAAAAATATATTTTAACTCGTTCCTGGTAGGTTACACATAAAAATCACGAAGGACCAAACTGAAACATGAAGTGAAACTTGGGAATTGGAGAAGCTGAACTGATCAGTCAGGAAGAAAAGGAGAAAGATTTTTTTTTATCTATTTGAATCATGCCACAGAAATCATGTGGAAGTCACTAATGAATTAATCTAATCCTAACACAGTGAGCTGTAATGAGGATCTGTCTGGCTTGAAAAGAGGTGAAATATCCAGCCCTTCCTGGCCTGGGACTTATGCTGAAAATGCCAAGTGTAAATACAGCCTCTCTGTGGAGGAGCACCTTCAGCTGGAGCTGCACTTCTCTGAGGATTTCGATGTGGAGCAAAGTTCTGATGGTCCTTGTATAGATGAGCTAAAAGTAAGAATGCATTCTCTGCTCTCACAAAAACTCATCTTTACAACATCCATTTTGTACAACGAAAATAAAAAATAGGAAGCTGTGACTGAAAGCTACTGTGTTGAAAGCTACTGTATGAATCAGTTAACATCCTGTTTTTAAAATGTTATAGCATGTTTGTGTTTGATATGTGTTTTATTTAAGTAGTTTCCTGTCTGTTTTTAATGTCATAACACTGTTGATTCACAGATTATGAAACAACATATACACCTATTTAAGTATCTACACTCCTTCCACCATTCTATATTTAATGAAATTACAACCACAAACTTTTATGTATTTTATTCAGGTTGTACAGTATGTGATATCCTACAAAACATAGTGCACGCCTGCACAATGGAAGAAAAAAAATTTACAAAATTACAAATAATTACAAATAAAACAGAAAAGTAAAGTGAGCCTTTCTGTTCATCCCTTGAGTTCATATTTAGTAGAATCACTTCCCTAAAAATTGAAGATGCAAGACTTGTAAGTTTTTGTCTCTACAAGCTTTAAAAGAGACTGGATGTTTTGCCTATAAATGCTGCTATATGTTTATGCTGCTGGAGGACGTAATGACCATTTTTTACCCATTCTGCTACATCTTCTTACTACTCTCCAATTTTAGATCATTTGACATTTTGGCTGTATTTCTAGTGTTTTTTTTCTCCTTACAGCGTCTAGATTTGGCCTGATGTTCTGTTCAGCTCTGACATCATCCTACATGGGCATTAAGTAGGCTGCTACTGTGGCGCACTTCATGTTCTCTTACCATCAGTCTTTTATTGGTTAACTTTTTCTTTCCCCACAACGTAGCAGTAGCCTGAGTTTTTTTTTGCCTCAAACTACATGTGTGCTTTACTCCTGGCATTAACTTTTTCCTTTCTTTCACATTGAAAGAACTCCTGAATCTGTGCCTCTGGTTCTTTTTGTGTTTACTCTTTCTTCTTAAATCTCCACACAGACATGGCAGAGGGATGTTAACTTTGAGCCAGGTTCTCCTGAAAATAATTTTTTTTTCCTCTCCAAGGAGGGATTGCTGAAAAGTCAATACACACATGGAAGCAACCGTCCACTGCTGCGACATGCTCATCCTAGTAGAGGGAGCTCTTAAAATCTGTGACTTGCTGCAAATCTGTTAGGTTTTTGATAAAAAAAAACATTTAAATTGTTCGTCTCTATTATTTGACTAACTTTACTTTGTAATGTAACTTAAGATGACCTGCTGTGAATTGGTGTTTTATAAACAAACTGAAATTGATTTAATAAGCTCAAACTCAGTCAGAACGAATAGAGAACATCTGTAAACACAATTTTAAGTCCTACCACAAATTTTATGTTAAATTTAAATCAGGACTTTGACAGGGCCTTTCTTGATATGAATTTAAAATAATGGCATCATAACTCTTGTTGTATGTAAGGGGTCTTATCCTGTAAAAGCCTTGGTCCAGTGTCAAGCCTTATACAGCCTCAAACACGCTCAATCTAACCATTAACTTTGGCCAGCTTCTCTTTCTCTGCTAGAGAAAAGCAACCCTAAAGCAGAATGCTGCAAAAACAATTTTATATCAGGAAGGTGTAAGTGGATACAGTGTGTCTTTTGTTTTTAACCACTTCTAGTGTTTTGCACATAGGCCACATAGTTCCATTTTGGTTGCATATGATCAGAGGACTTGGTCAAATACATTGCTACATCTGTCTGTCAACAGTAATCATCACATTAATTGATATTTAATGTGATGTCTTATGGTGAAAGTTTGGACCAGATTGTATTTAGGGTACAAAAAACAACAGCAAAAAAAGAATATTTCTTCCTTTTCACAGGAATGCACTTCATTGGGTTGGTCTATCACAAAAAAATCCCGAAAAAGATAATGAAGCTGTAAATATTTGCAGTCAACTGTATTAAAATTAAGTAAACCCCCTAAAATCAGTCCTTTTATTGAATGAACGTTAGCTTTCTTTTACATGCACTCAGGCAACCTTTTTGAAAAGCTATGCACCGTTGACCATGCTCCTGTGGTAAAAAAAAAATGATACCAACAACACATAAAGCTTTTCAAGATGTACACCAGTTCACAATTCATTGCTTTGCATGCATTTTGAAAGAAACTATATAACAAACAATACTTTATACTAAAACATGCTGAGGATGACCTCCATAGAATTAACCTTTTGTGTTTTGAATTTTGAAATTACATTTTATTCATACATTACAGCTACCCTAGTTCCTCTCTATAAACACATTAAATGATGAAAATATTGTAGTAATTTAGTAAGCAAATAAAAAATATAATTGTTTACAACATAAAGCATCTTCTCTACACCTAGTAGAATTTTAACAATAGAGAAAAATGTTATTTCTTCAAAGTGGAGTCAAACAAATTTTTTAACCATCTGAGGTTTTGTCAATTTTAAGTTAAAGCACAACTCTTCTTGGACAGACACATGCCTTAAGTGGTGTGGCACAGAAGGATACTGTGGTTACATTGAGGTCTAAAAAAGAAAAAAACCCACAACTGTTTACCAGTAAAGACCCCCATACCATCACACCTCCGCCTCCACGTCTTACACAGGCAACCGCATATTCAGATATCACCAGGTCTTCCTTTGTATACCTCACAAAACAAGGGAGCCGAAACTTTGATACTTCCGACCAAAGTCCAGATTTACAGTAGTTTGCTATACAAGCACTACGTTTTTATTTGTCTCCAGCAGCTCCATCTTGAAGGACTCCGTTATATGGTTTCACTTTGATCAGTGACGCTATATATAACATGGCTTCATCAATAGATATCATGCTTGATTTACTTTTGATAGTCCTTCCTGTCTGCATATTTCAGCAGCATCTTATATTTAAAAACAACTTGTGTTTATGTGTTCGGCAGATTGAAACCTACTCTGAGACCCTGGGTCCATTCTGTGGTAACAAACCTCCCCCATCTCCTCTTCTCACTCACTCAAGCCAGATCCAAATCGATTTCACCTCTGATGGGTTTGGGACAAACAAGGGCTTTAAGTTAAACTTCAAGACCCGAGGTAATGTAGTCCGTCTTCCATAGCGTACAAAAGATGATCTCTATACTTGTTCCAGGAAAATGATCAGAATGCTGTTCTTGCCTTCAGATAAGGTCTGTCGATCAGTCGTGACCTCAAACTCAAACGTGACTCCTCTGAAGGAAGAGTATCACCGGGGCGAATCGGTGACAGTTAAATGTCTACTTGGCTATGCTGTAAATTCAGTGAGTACTTAAAAAGGTTTGTAGTAATATATGAAAAACCTAAACCAACAGTAATTAAAGTTTTCCTTTTGCAAATCAGGAGGAAATTGAGGGTATGTTAACAGAGTATGAGACCACCTGCCAGAGCACAGGTGTATGGATGCCAAGCTACCCCTGTGAAAGTGAGTGCAACTTTAACCAATCACATTATTACCTGTTTATTCTTGTTTTCCACTTTAGTTGTAGATTGTGGTTTACCGGATATTAAAGACCACAGCCTTCTTCAGGTGGTGAATCCAGACGACCAGGACACCAAGTATAATAGCCAGATCACCTTTCACTGCAGCTCACAATACTACACACTGGAAGGAGATGGTGATTATATCAATCTGCCACATTGTTTTAACTGCTGTTACTTTTTAACCACATGCTTTCTAAAATGTTTCAGAAACGTACACTTGTAATGCCAATGGTGAGTGGGTATCAGTGGACGGCGGGGCAGAGTTACCAAAATGCAAAGAAGGTAAGTTATACACACCTAAATTTTTAAATATGAAATTATTTACTTCATGTTACTGACAACTTATGTTCATTTCAGTGTGTGGGATGCCTCAAAAAGAATTGTTAAATGCAGGAAGAATACTGGGAGGAGAGAATGCAAAACTAGGAGAAATACCTTGGCAGCTTTTGATAAAATATCCAACTAGAGGAGGAGCATCACTGATAAATGATCAGTGGGCCGTCACGGCTGCACATGTTGTAGAAGGGCAACATAAAGATGCTTTTGTAATCTATGGTGGACTGGTAAATGCAAGAAATTCTGATACATTGCCTCGCATTCCAATCGATAAAATCATCCTGCATCCTGGCTATAGTACAATGTCTTCATCTACAACACCAAAAAATTATGATAATGATATTGCTCTGATAAAATTCTCATCCAAAGTGAATCTTGGCCCAAACCTTCTTCCTATTTGCCTCCCAGAGGTAAACAGGGGCGTGAATGAAAATGAACAAGGCACGGTGTCTGGATGGGGGGCTACAATAACAATAACAGGTAGAAACAGGACCATATCTCCACACTTACAGTATGTCAGCATTCCTGTTAACTCTCTCACTGAGTGTATGGATACACCTCTTTCAAACTCTAACGAAGCTATGACCTTTACCAATAATATGTTCTGTGCAGGAGAAAAAGGGAAGGACAGCTGCCATGGAGACAGTGGAGGTCCATTTATTGTACCCATGCTGTCTTCAGGGGGGCCTTATTATCTGATTGGCATTGTGTCCTGGGGAGAAAACTGTCTGGGAGGTGATATAAAGGGGAAAAAAAAAGGTTATTACACCAAGGTGGAGAATTATGTAAACTGGATTAAAACAACAATCCAGGACAACTGAACACAGCTGAGAATAAAACGGTTTTGTTCAGTCAAAATCAATCAATAAATATCAATTAACTTGTACTGATTATTTTATTACTTCATTTTCCAAATTAACAGATCTTCACCAACTCTTGAAATCAAATATTCGAATATTAATAGGAAATCAAACCAATTAAACTGGAAGCATATGCAGTGGAAAATATTTACGTTTAAAGGAAGTGTTCACATATCATCTGCAGACATTGTCCTTTTTTGAAAGTTAACATGTTTTGCTAATGTGTTATGGTGTGCAGTATGTAAGTAGATGTTAGTATAAATGGTTCTGCATAATGTAAAGAGCTAATTTTTAAATCATTTTAACTCCATACGTCATTCTCCAAATCTATATATCAACTATGATCAAAATCAAATATACTTTGTAATATGTATTAGTGTTGCATATTGCACAGACTCATTTAGCTAATAAATGCTAATAAACAATCATATTTGTGTTGTTGTTTTTTATGTAGTAAATTAACTGCTTTGTATTTCTTACTGCCTAAGTATTAGGTAAATTGACTGGTTTTGGGGTAACTTAAAATGTTTAACATTGGGGTATCAAAACCAGCTATAGTTTCCTGTCACAATGTGTGTTTAAAAGTAATCTTATGGGAAACATAGAGTAACAGAATGCTTACCCCTTCCTAGAATGGTGTTTCACACTGCTGGTTAGATTGATGAAAGAAGGCTACTACTTGTTCATTTTGCAAAGTTATATGTTCAATGCACATCCCAGTAGGGGTGGGACATAATTTAATGAAACAGTATTCAAACTCCTGCATCTTGGTTCAGTTTGTAGCACTGTTGTGTTGCAGCCAGAAGGTTTTGGGTTCGATTCTCGCTCCGAGGTCTTTCTGCATGGTGTTTGCATGTTCTCCCAGTGCATGTGTGGGTTCTCACAAAAACAAGACCGTTCAGTTAATTTGCTTCTCTAAGGTGTGAGTGTGCATGGTTATGTGTGTGTCTCCATGTTGCCCTGAGAAAGACTGCCGACCTATCAGGAGTGTACCTTGCCTCTTGCCCATAGGCAGCCGGAGATAGGCAGGGGCCCTGCTGCGACCCTGATGGAATGAGAAAATGGATATTTCAACTGTCATATATTGTTCTGTGAACAATATATTGTTGTGTGAACACACACACACAACTTTCTGTGTGTTAGGGCAACAAATGAAAGTGTGAATCGAGCTCAAATCATGGTCAAACATAACTCTGCACAAATATGGAATGCATTCACCACACCTTCCAATCAGTTATATGAGTTTATTGACAAAAATCACGCCAAGTCAAACATATTAGTCAAAAACTTGACTCAACTAAACTAAGCTACTATGTACACACAGAAAACAAAACACATGGTTGAAACCATAATCAATAGAATAAAGCAATAATAGTATGGTTAGGCAAGGATTTAATGTTGAAACCAAAGTTTATCATATATAATTTGAAATGCTGTAAAACTAACTTTTTACTAATGTAGACCAATTCACAATGCAAAACAAAGGAGGTATATAAAACATTATTTGGAAAAATAATGTTTTAATAAATGATTTGCTTAACCAGAAACCAATAACGGTTCGTTAATTGATTCTTAACCTTCTTTGTTGAGCTAGTAGCTAGCAGACATGAGGGGACTCATCTTAAAATACTCTTTGGTCTTATTTTGGTAATTGTGATGAGCATATGAGAAAACACATGAACATTAATGTTATGTTAGTGTTTTAACCCTTTGTAAAATTATGTTTTTTTTATCTTTATAAACAACAACTCAAAGCATGTTAGTGTGGTGTACAATGTACCTACGTCCTGTTACAGTATTTTGATGTCAAATATTTCACTGACATTTGAACAGATTACAACTTATAAAACACGCAGACATCTAATAAATGAGTTTACCGCACAGACCTTTAAAGGCTGTAAGATTTAACTTTTGTATCTCATCTAAAACATGGCTTCAACTAAAGCTAGTATTGAACCCTTAAAACTTGTATAGCTACACTGCAAAGCAAACATTATGTTTTTTTCCTCCTTTTAAACAGTTAAAAGCTGTTAGCTTAAAATTATTTATGGGTTTTAGTTCATCTAAGTAATGGAATTGAAATAATTAAACTAAGAAGAAAAAATTTTAATGACACTGTTGCAGCACATTATACAAAACCTAAATCTTTACCAGCTCCCTAAATGGAAGGGCAAAGCTGGAAAAAAGGCAAGTACTTCCTCTAGTGGTTAGAATAATTATTGCAGCTGGTGAAGGTGCTAAACAGGGATAATTCCCAATTAAAGAATAGCAAGAAAAAAACTAAAATGACATAAATCATTAAAACTGACAATTTCCCATCCAATTCCATTTGTGTTATTTATTAAACATTATTTTCCCCTCCCTGTATTTCAAAGTCAAACATGTATTTGATTTTGCCAAGACAAACAAGGCATATTCCTGGCATTAACGCGATTAGTTGCTACACAACTGAAAGAGGAGCCTTTATCACATTAATGGTTCACTTGTATCTGGGACTTGTGCTGGTGCACTACTAGATTAATTCAGGCATGCATGTATTCAATTCCAGGGTTGTTTGGGCGTCTCTTATATTATGGTGAGTTAATATTTTGTTTCTTGTTTGTTGTTGTTGTTTTGTTTTTGTTTTTTTGTTTTTTACTTATCATGGGGAAATCAAACAGTTTTAATCTAACTTCCTCTAATATGATTCTAAACGTCTAAAAAGAATGCAAATTCCTGAACTTATGAATGTATTTTAAAATACCGTATATTTGACACACGAATGAATAAGCATATTTCAATAGGCAGATGATTCTTTGGTATGTGATATGGTCATATGTATCTTTTGCACTTTAGTCAGTTCAGGCTCTGTGTTTGCTCTTTTCTGTTTGAATCGACTTTGGACCAGTAGCTCAAATCAAAACAGACTGATAAACAGATCAAACTTGTTTATGCACCTTTCAGGTTTCAACATGTTCTGGTCTGTGAGTGTGTCCCGCTGCCAGACTCAGAACCCCCGATGCATGGAGCAGTCCAGTCCCCCCAGTATCCACAGCCCTATCCCCCCAACCTCCAGAAGCAGTGGGAGCTTAGTGTGCCAGAGGGCTTCCAGATCAGCCTGACCTTCACACACCTGGACATCGAGGCCTCTACAGGCTGCTACTACGATTCAATTACTGTCAGAGATATATAATGTTATCACATATTTCCACTTTATAGTTTGTAAAATATGCTACATTTTTAGGAACCCAAAGGTTTGACTCTAGCAGTCAAATTAGATTTGACTGTTAGATCTAGATAAAATTAGATTTATTAAATGTATGCAAAGATTGGGTTTATCAAGCTATTTTTTTAAGGATACTGACCAAATGGCTTTATTTAAGGATTATAACTAATATTTTATTAATTTCAATCTTTAATTATAATAGGAGCAATTCAGACTTTTACTTTTTTTTCTTTTCTAGAAAACAAGGTAAAATCAACTTAAAAATGAATTGAATTCATACAATCCGTCCGCTAATTACTTTTTATTTACACTGTAGTGTTTCTTCATTATGTTTAGGATCTTATCCTTGCAGGTTCTATATGATGAAAAGCTGCTCGGAAAGTTCTGTGGCAACGAGAACTCTGCTGATGGAAATCACCCCGGTTACCAGCCCATTTTATCTCCAGGAAACAGACTCACTCTGATATTCCAGTCAGATGAGTACAATCCGGATCTTCACCAGAATGTGGGATTCTCCGCTCAATACCAAGCAATAGGTGCCTTTGAAAAATGTCCTTTCACACATGCCAAATAAAAATGATCTTGAATCGAAAACATCCCACATAGTGTTTTTACATTCTTGTCGTCAGACATAGATGAATGCTCTGCACCAGAACCTTTGGATGGATCGGGTCCGCTCTGCTCTCAGATCTGCCTCAACACACTGGGATCCTATCTGTGTGCCTGTCACCATGGCTACGAGCTGCGTTCAGACCAGCGTACCTGCGCCTGTAAGTTTATGGAAACTTATTGTGGGTAAATCAAAAATTTATCTTGATGCATTTTGAATTGTGATCAGAAATACATCATAATTGAATGCTGGATCTGTTTCTTAAAGTAATGGCAAGGTGTCACCGCTTTCCACCTTGAATTTAAACAATGAGCAAATGGATGCAAATAACACTAGAAATGATTTGTTTTGTTTTTTCTGAAGTATATTAATAAAATAATTTCTGGTTTAATTGGTTTAAAGAAGAAAGAGTTGAAGTTGCAATCCCATACATGCCATTCATTGTCCCATTTTGTATAATGATCAGCCTAAAGTAATACGTCATTGCCAAGTGAAGGCAATTATCATTTTATCAATATCATTATGCAGTCTTTAAAAAAATTAAAATATACTATTTCAGCTTTAATTCTTTATTGCAAAATGTCAATTTTATAATCATATGTTTTCAAATAGACTTACAGTATATCCTGATTTTGACTCAATCCTTTTGATTTATGAATAGGATTTAATTTCAACCCCTCTATTGTAATGTTGGCTGTAAGCTTTTTTGAAGCCTCAATAAAACCTCTCTTTAAGCATTGCCCCATATTTAGCTCCATCTATCTTCTAATAGACTCTGACCACCTTCCCTGTAATTGCCCAAGAGGGGTATCCCACTTCATAATGCTGCCACCTCTATGTTTTGCAGGGGTTCTGTATAAAGAATGTCATTCAACGTTCGTATTTTGCCTGCAACCAAAAGTTTAGTTTACTTCTTTCATGTTTCCATTTGTCATATAGATGGCTAGTGGCAAAACAAAACAGATAAAATTCCATGTAACTTTTTTTCAATAGAGATTTTGATGTGAGAAAATGTAAAAAATTTGAATGAATATTTATGCTAATGCGAGGAACTGCATGAACACTTTCCTTTCTTTTTGTCCAGTATCCTGTAGCAGCGGAGTATTTGATGAAGTAGAAGGGCACCTGTTTAGTCCAGGTTACCCGAACCCCTCGCCACATGCTTTGTCTTGTCAGTACATTATATCAGTGGAGCCTGGCTTCTCTGTCTCTCTTAACTTCTCGGATAAGTTTCACATTGAGAGTGTGGACACGGAGGAAGGCCCAAACTGTCTCCATCACTGGCTGGAGGTAACAGGAAACAGCTTAAATCATGTGTAGTGACATTAAAGGTATAGTGGAGGATTTTTCGAGAGTTTTTAAAAAAAGACCCGTTCTTTTAACTTAAAAAATGCACATGCACAACCCTGTACCTGCTCCTGAGAGGATACAGGGTTGTGCACACGTTTATTAGAGTGTGTGTGAAAGCATGCACAAGCCCATTTCTCCTTGTGCACGCTCTTTTTAAAACTCTAACACCTAAATCCCTCAATCTCTATATAGAGTGGGGACTATAGTGAACTCAGTTAACTTACCGTTTGGACAGATGATCACTGCTTTTTGCTCCCTGTTGGTCATATAACTCCTCCTCCACTGCGTGGTGCCTACACCATCTTTGTTATTAGTACCCGACAGCGGGCCGCTGTGACAGCAAATCCCATAATGCTTTGCAAGGAGAGCTTTCCTTGTGAAGCATTCAGGGATATATATCTGCATCTTCTGATGCCTTTGTTTTGTTCTTATACACTTCGTAGACACTTTTTCTCTTATGACCCTCAGCCATTTTCAAAAAACTGCGTAGAGAAAGGTGTGCTTCAGTGACTGGCTGAAACCACAGATATACGCCTGATAGTGCACATGCGCAGAGAAAAAGATAGCTAACATGATGTGCAAGTAGGACTGCCTTCCGTAAACTTATCACCAGAATGACTGACAATTAGAGGGACCGCTTATTTAGATGATCTACCCGGAAAAAAAAAGATTGTCCTCTGTACCTTTAATGACAGTAGATATGACTATAATATTTAAATATTTGATTAAAACCTGACCTTCTTTTTCTTTGAGGTGAGCATCCCTAACAGAGAGTCTATGAGGCTGTGTGGGGGGAGAAGCCCAGGACTGATTAACACAAACTCCAACACTGTCACGCTGAACTACCACATTGATGATCAGGGCCGAAGCAATGGATGGAGCCTGGACTACAGCACATCCAGTGAGGAGGGGGGGGGGTCAAAGGAATATTAGACTATTAAAAGGTTGAATGTGTGGCTGATAACACATATTTATGCTTTCACATCAGGAGTAAAGTGTCCAGTTCCTGGTAAAGTAGCTCGAGGAAAGGTCACTCCTTCCTTAACTGAATACTTCTACAGAGATCCTATCTATGTGCGCTGTGAACAAGGATACAAACTAATGGCGGTAGGCTTGGAAATAATTTCCTGTTTTTTAATTGTAGTATTGCATTGTTTTAACAAAATGTCCTACTTTTTTTTGGGTCAGAATGGTCAGGAGATAGAGAGCTTCTCTGCTGTGTGCCAAAGTAACGGAGATTGGCACCTCCCACTGCCAGAATGCCACAGTATGTTAGCATCAAGCTTATACAAGGCGGATCTGAAGCCATTGAATTGAACAATTTTAACAATCAAACTCTGAACATTTTCTTGCTAACAAAATACTAAATCTTTTTTTTTCTCTCTGCCACAGTTATTGATTGTGGAGAACCTGAGCCTCTGTTAAATGGGGGAGTAACTTTCCTGTCTGGCTTCCAGAATCAGTATCTGTCTAAAGTTCAGTATCACTGCAATGAACCATTTTATTCTCCATTTGGTGGCAGTAATGGTAAGACGTTTTATATGAGGAATTTTTCACTGATTCTGCACTAACTTTAGAGATAGAGATAAACAATGTGTATATTTTCACTGGTAACATATCTTCAAGAGGTTGCACTGCTTTTGTCAGGAATTTTTTATGAAAGTTCTTTATTATAATGTTTTATTTTGCATACAGTGCAAATCAATTTAACGTTAATAAACATTTTTGTAGATGTAGTTTCCTCTAATTTATTTGCTAGTCTAAACAGTATTGTACAGATGTGGCTTTTTCAACAAATAGAAATGCATTTTTAAGGCACTTAATCAATATAGTCTAGAGTGGTTGACATACACAGAGGAAGCTGTGTTTCTCTTTTGGCTGTTTGTGAGCTTGGTCACCATAAAAGACTATGTACTGTATGGTGTTTGCTAATCCTAAACTAATTTGACTAATTTGTCACATACGATGTGACAAATTAGTAACTTTAAAGGTAAAGTGGGTGATTTTTGGTGAATTTTTGAAAAGACCAGCCCTCTCCACTTTAAAAAAAAATGCACATGGACAATGGAAACATGCATATGAAAATCGATGAGTGGGTCGTTCGGTTCCATTGTTAGCCTGTAATATCTGAAACCTGTCTATGATTCTGAAGGTTGGTCGTTAAAGGGGGGGATTGTCTACTGTAATACCTGAAACCTGTCTATAATTGTTAAGGGTCGGTCGTTAAAGAGGTATTGTTCACCGGCTGAAGAGAGGAGGTACTTTGTTCCTCTGTGGTGGGGTTGTGGTGATATCTGGAAGGGATCATCTCTATAACTGAATTGTAAATTTTTGGAAGCTGCAATCTGAGTCCACCACCTCTGTTTAAAGTTGGTTTTTCTCTCTTAACATAGATGGCTTCCTTCACGCCCCTCTCAAACCACATATTTTCTTTATCCAGAATGTGAACATTCTGGTCCTCAAAAGAATGTCCTTTGTCCACAAGGTGTAGATGTACTGCGGCGTTTTGTCCAGAGGAGGCTGCTCTTCTGTGTTGAGCCATGCGTCTGTGGAGAGGTTGTTTGGTTTATCTAAAGATGCCGTGATCTTTATATTGGAGAAACCAAACAACCTCTTCACAGACGCATGGCTCAACACAGTACAGCGGCTTCTTCAAACCTTGGAAACCAAGTCCAGTGGATTGTTTTTTAAACTTTTACAGAATATCACCAGGATGATTGACAATTAGCAGGACCACTTATTTTGATGATCCACCTAGAAAAAGAACATCCTCCACCATACCTTTATGAGAATATTGTGCAAACAGTAACAAATTATTTTTATATATTTTATTTGAAGACCAAACATGGAAATATTATAAATAGCTTTGATAATTTTTTGTATTTGCTTTATTTTGCTTAGTTACACTCATCTGTGAGGCAGATCGACAGTGGAGGTCCAACCAAGAGGTTATTTTAAAACCAGTATGCCTACCAGGTATTACAGTTTGTCTTTCATAACTTCAGTGAACACCTTGATTTCTTTTTATCTTTATGACTATGAGTATATATTCTATGCAGTTTGTGGTCGACCAACAAAGCACTTTAATAACTATCAGAGAATCATTGGAGGAGATGATGCTCCAGAGGACACTATTCCCTGGCAAGCTCTAATAAGTTCAACATCAGGCGATGGGGGGGCTATGATCATAGCTGATCGCTGGATTTTGACTGCAGCTCATGTGGTTGTAACTAAAGGAGAAGTAGCAACACCTGAGTCTATAAATGTAAGTAGTCCGCTGTAAAGTTCTACATTTATCCACTGACATGTAAATAAAAAAATATATATATTTTTTTACCTTTTTTTTTTTAGATTTACATTGGACATACTGATGTTGGCCTGCTTAGAAAAACACCTTCACTAAATGTGACTGCAATCCATGTTCATCCTGAATACCATAACCTGAACCAATTAAACTTTGACAATGATATTGCACTGATACAAGTGCAAGACCCAGTCACCTTCAAAGCATCAATAATGCCTCTGTGTTTGCCAGCAAAAGATGATGAATATGAGGATACAATAATAGGGTAAGGAAACAGCAGCAAATAGTCACAAGAAAAGCATATTTGTTTTACATAACTGATCTTTTGAGGTGCAAACCTTTTACTTTTTCAGGATGGTTTCTGGGTTTGGGGTTACATACAAAAACAACAGTCAGTATCAAACAAAAAAGCTGAAGTACGTGCATATTCCAGTGGCGTCTCAGGAGGTATGCAGCAATTCTTTGAAGGGACGGTCCAATGCACCAATACTGACAGACAACATGTTCTGTGCTGGAACTCCTAAAGGTGGGAAAGACTCTTGCCAAGGTGACAGTGGGGGTGCCTTCACTCTACAATCTGCAGATGGTCGATTCTGGGCTGCAGGGATTGTCAGCTGGGGGCTTAAATGTGGAAGGGAAGGAACTTATGGATTTTATACCAAAGTAGCAAACTATGTAGACTGGATTAACAAGATCATGCAGGAGAACTAAAAAAAAAAAAGCAATAACAGTTAAAGCTATTTGTAAGATATAAGCAAAACAACATCTCCATAAAGCCATTAAAAGACAGTTAGATTATCATAAACTATAAATAAAAAGTTCTAATAATTACTTAACATGTTGATTGTTCTTGAATGATTTGAAGGTTGTATTTGAATGCAAAAACTTTGTTATGTTAATATGAATAAATTGGTATAATACATATTTTTCCGTCTTTTACTTATATACACCATTGTGATGCCCTTATCATATAGTTTCTTAAAAATTGGGTTGCAAAGTGACTGAGTGGTAAGTACCATCGTATGCAGGAAAAAGAAAACCACACAGGCACGGATTCACCAGAGATATCGTGGCTTCCTTTAAGAAAGAGAACTGTTAAGTCAACTGTTCTCTTTAAACCAACCAACCAACCAACCAACCAACCAACCAACCAACCAACCAACCAACCAACCAACCAACCAACCAACCAACCAACCAACTCACAAAAAAACTAGCTAATCAACTTTCCAACAAATCAGCTAACAGGTAACTAACTAACTAACTAACTAACTAACTAACTAACTAACTAACTAACTAACTAACTAACTAACTAACTAACTAACTAACTAACTAACTAACGTTTTACAGGTATATTAATGTTTAACAATGTGCTTGGAAGATGGTTTAGATGGATTTTTAGCTTCAACCTATAAAAACCAATGCTCAGATTTGTTGATTTAACTCATCTGTTTTGTTTGCATTGCCTCAAGCTGGAAAAACCTTATACAGTAGAATTATTTGGTAATTTCAAATAAAACTACTTTTATGCAACAAAAAAAAAGAGGCTAACTTTACATAATTCATTGTTTCACACTGTAATGTAGGAGATTAAATGTTGTTATAAAAGGAGTCAAGAGAGCATGATGAAATGTCATCAGTCATCAGTCTTCTTTGTGACGGCGTTGCCTTCTGACCCTGAATTCATGGATGTACCTGTATTTTTCCACAAATCAAATATATGATCTTGTTACCTTGCAAGATGAAATGTTGTGAGATTTAAATTAAAAAACTCCTGGGAATACCGTTTACAGTTCAAATTCTGGTTTATGCCTCAAAAAATCGAGGTGTAGATCAAATATTTTAGAACCATGTTGCACAGCATGGTTTGAATACAACAAACTTTGAGGTTTAGACACAATTCCATGAAAAATATTGATAAAATTCTGAAGTTTGTAAAATTGAACAAAAATTTTCTAAGTTTGAAACCAGAAACCTTTTTAATATTTTTCATTTAAAGCAAGAGTAACAATTAAAAATATTTCTGTCTTCATATGCCTAATATTGTTAGGAATACCTGTATGAAATGTTACCATAGTAACCCATGACTCTATCTGCACCGCTCTCTGATTGGTTGAAGCTTTTGCGCGTGCTTTCATTTTCCATAAGGTTTTGCGCTCTGCGCATGTCCAATGCAGATCCTATCTGCGCACCTCTACTCCTTCCGAGTGTAACTTTATATTTTATGACAGCTAAAAATGTCTAGTTAATGATTGGCACAGATGAGGCGAAGAATCGGTCCAAAATCTATCTTGTGCGTTAGAAAGCCACCATCATTATGACGCGTTTATAGCTTGGTGAAATCAAAAGTGAAAGCGTTGTGGTGCATTCTTTCTTTCATTTTTTCAGCTAAAAGTATACGGATCTTTTCCTCCTTGACGATGATTAAAATATTATTTTTCGGATGCTTTTTGACGTTCGTTAATGGTAAGATTACTCATACTAATGTCAGTGTTTGCTTGTGGCTCGGTTGCAGCAATTAAAAGTTGAATCTTACAGCTTTTCATATCCACGTTTTTATTAAGTAGCCTATTCCTTATTAGAAATACCTGAAAATGATCTTAACTGTAAGAATATTTTGGTGAGTTTGAAGAGAAAAAGAAAACTGTTATTTCTTAGTGTAAACTTGCTTTTTCATCTGAAGATTAATACTAAAAAGGTGTGTAAAAAGAAGCAATGACTAAAAAAAAACAATAAAATACTATATTTGTAAAAAAAAATGTACAAATTAGGAAATGCAAATATGCACAAAACCCATTTTCACATCCCAGTTAAATGCCCATGTAAAAAATATACAATCAAATAATCTTTACAAGAGAGAAATGTTGCTTCCTGACAGTCATCAATGACCAAACAAATAAAAAATAAAAAGGAGCATCTTCTTCACAGGTGTGACAGCAATTAAGATTTTGTCCTTACATTTTATCTGTTGAACAGGACAAATGTCTATCTTAAGATACACAGAGGCCAGCAGCTTTTAAACCTGCCCAAAAGGTTAAATAGGAGGCCAAATCACTTTCAAAAGGTGACAGAGAGTAATGTGTAAAAGAATCTATACAGGACCATAAAGCAGTGGGATAAATGTGTCTGGTATGACTGATTATATTTTCTTTAACATCCAGTTGATGGATTGGTGCTTGTTCACCTGAAAACAATGCACCTTTAGTGGAGAAAGAAATTAGACACTGGAGTTCTGCAGGGAAACCTTTGATCCTGAAATCTGTGGGTTATTGATATGTGAACCACCTGACAAAGTATTTTGCAGTATTTGCATGTTCACTGTAGCCTCTCTTAGAAATATCATAAGCTTTTTCTTTGAAAAGTGGGTTTTAGAATTGTTTAAGAAGAACATAACAGTATTTGAGAATCTGACTTGGCTTCAACATTTTGCAGATTTCAATCCAATGGAGCATCAGTGATAAAAAAAAAGTCTGATCCATGGAAGAAGTTTCCATGTTTATCTCTTTCTAGTTTCATTTTACCATCAAATAAAATAATTATTTGATAATTTACTTCATTAAAGTAAACAATTTTATGAGCCTCTGAGAAATTGTTTTTCTTCACATTGTCTTCCAGCTGATGGCTTTGCTGATGTAGTTCTCTCCTGCTCTCTGGTGGAGGAGGGAACAGGACTGGGAGGAATGGGAGGTGGCGCTCTCTTCTCCCGAACTCCTGCCACTCTGGTCCTTCGAGATGTTCCTGTGGGGCCAGAGGAATCACTTGACACGCTAACTCCATTTGTTCCCCCCTCCGTCCCTGATCCCGATCTCCTCCTGTTTGAGAACAAAGGTGCTCCTTTTAGTTCTAAAATTATTAATCGGTGTAAATGCTGCACAGTTTGTGAACCCGTCTCATTCTATTTCGGCAGTATCCTCGCCTGAGATCCCCAATGCTGCCCTGTTGCTCCATGCAGACTGTAACGAGCAGGAGGTGATGTGTGAGATAAGTCGTTACACTCCTCGAGGACTTCCGGAAAGTTCTGATCCAGCATATTTCATGGTTTCTCTGAGTGTGGAGGGACTCGACTTCAGCACGTCACTCATTCTTCAAACACTACCAGTTGATAAATATGAGCAGACCTTAACGCAAAACAAGCTCAGTTTACCTCTCAGCCAATCAGGAACTCTGCTAACTAAAGGTAAATTACAAAGGTCAATGTTGCATCTAACAAGGAAAAACATCCAGATTTTTTTTTCTTTGTAAAAAACTTAATTTATAATAATATTTCCCCTGCTTTCATTGCCTTCTTGGACTGTAGTGATATTCCTGGTATTCTCCGACATCAATTCTGTTTCTGCTCCCTTGAGAGGAGAAATTCTCCTCCACTGCGGGTTCAAGCAGGAGGAAGCAACATTAGCACCAGAAGTTGGCCTTGAATGGCGTCTACAGCACAGAGGGAAAGGCAGGAAAGTGCTTGAGATGAAGTCAAGGCTAGATGACACAGAAGGGGCCCCAGTGGGTGAGTGTTATAAAGAGTAAACAGTAGAATTGAATGTTTTATGTGCCAAACAGCCCCCCCAATGGATTTAGGTGAGATATTCAGTTTGTAAAGCCTACTAAAGAGCATATATTATAAGGTGCACGAATAAGACACTTACTGAGATAAAGATAATGTAAAATATCTTAAAGGAACTATGAACTAGGTAGCTTTATCTCACTCAAAACTTTCTGCAGTACAGTCAATAGTACTGTTGCCTTGCAGCAGGAAGTTCCTTTGTCCAAATCCCAGCTTGGGATCTCCTGCATGGAGTCTGAAGGTTCTCCTCCATGGATCTGTGAGTTTCCCTAAGGTAGGCCTTGGGTTTTTCTCACAGTCCAAAAACATGCAGGCAAAGCCGCCCTTCAGCACCTGTAAGCATGTATATGCCTTGCATCTCACTCCCCTACTGGAGATGGTCACCTGCAACCTTGCCAACTTTAATCAGCTATAAAAATCACATGATTTAATTTATACAAAATTTATTTATAGAAACATATCATCACTTATAAATAAAGGATATTTGAATATACTGCAGTATAACCGGGGCTTATGTTTAAAAGTTTAAGATAAGCATGCAGGTGTTGAGGCAGATCCCTTACTATGATCTTTACTGTAGCTGTGAAGCTGCAAATTGTATCAAATTGAATTCATCTTTCAGTCACCTTACACAACCTTTCAAAAAGGCAAAAATGTGAAAATCCTTTTGTTTTACTTTCACATGCAAAAAAAGAATACTACTTAATAACATATTTCCTTTTAAAGTGGCACCATAACAACTGGAAAGCAGTAATCAGAGTAAGGAGAATATTACTATATGACTTTCTGTGTTTAGTTCATGGTGAGAGAAAAGGCTCTATGGTGGATACTGCTCAGGTCCTCAGTGAGGGGAACGTCTCCATGAGTCTGACGGAGCTGAAGGTTGTAGATGAAGGAACCTACATCTGTACAGTCAATCTGGGTCCTTTTCATGCCCAGCAGGTCATCCAGCTCCGTATCAATCGTAAGTTTATCTCTAATCTGATCTTACCATCATTTTAAGCAGCCATGCTTTTTTTTGTTTACTGTATACCTTTTCCACTTGTTAATTTTCTTCCCAGAACCACCGCAGGTTTCTCTGTCGGAGGAGAAGTTAGTCTTAAAAAAAACTCCACAGACGTTGAGCTGTCACTGTGCTAAATACTATCCATTAGATGCAGAGGTTAGTAAATGTGTTTTTACATACAGCTGCCTTTTAGAATAGCCATGAGCATTTATTTATTAGGAGAGAAACATACAATGTTATTAAAGTAAATTAGGTTGAAAGTATTAGATATTAGGTAATATGAATTCTTCTGTTGTCTTCGCTTTAAATGGTAAATTCTTTCAATGTTTTATTTATCTTAACAGTTTTGTTGAGGATTTTCGCGAATTTTTTAAAAGAAGCCCCCTCTACACTTAAAAAAAGGCAATTGCACAACCCTGTACCTGCTCACGAGAGAGAACACCTGTTAAGCGTGCGAGAGCGTTCACAAGGCCATTTCTCCTTGTGCACGCTCTGTTTAAAAGTTGCTGTTGTCATAGCTTATACAAACTTACTGTGTCCGAACGTCTGCATTGACGACCCTTGGCCATTTTCAAAGAACCGTGGTGAGAAAGGTGAGCTTCAATGACTGTCTGAAAGCGTCGCTCACCACAAATATACACCTGAAAGTGATTATGACCAGAAAAAGATAGCTTATGGGGCGAGCACGTAGGACGGCTTATGTAAACACATCACCAGAATGATTGACAATTAGGAGGACCATTTTTTACCCGCAAAGTAGATGTAAAAATAATTTAACAAAGCAGTCTTTCAGTTTTATTGACTAAATATTAAGAAAAATACATAAAGAAAATCACTGCTGTCACAAAACTACTGTATAACCTAATGCATGTTTCAGTGACTAGAAAAGTGACATTGAAAAACAATACAATCAGAAAAAGTAAAAGAGCTATGCACAACATTAAAATGAGTGGATTAATATGTTTAACGGTTCCAAGTTTTAACATGAGATAATGTTTAAATTGATTTCTGTGCAGGATTAATTGTTTTGCACATTCAAGGGCTGTCACTCTGCTAGGCAAGTGTGAAAAACCCTGAAGTAAATCCATGTAACAGAAGCAGCAAATTATCAACCTCAGCATATGTCCGGCTGCTCTTTACCCATGAACTGCAGATTCATCATGGAAGTCACTGTTGATATTGGCAAGATATATCATATTGCATTTCTCATTCAGCCTTGTTGGTCACAGATCCAGCTATCTGCCTTACATCAGTGAAAAGTTTTCCATCTTCAGCCACAAATGTAATAAGTGGCTGAAAGACTAACAATTCTCTCAACACTTAAACCATTTTCAAATAGCATAGTGCAAATATGAGCATAACAAATATTTCTTGATGTGGGAGTCGTATATATATTCACACAATCTGTGTATTTGTAGCAGAAAGAGGTCGTGAAAAAACTTGAGCTTCCACTTTCTGTTGTTCTCTGATGGAAAGGCTTCTTATATCGCCCCCTTGTGGTCCTTCTTATTAACCTCTCCTTAAAAAAGAAACATTTGTGGTCAAACCAACACAGAAATGCAGTGGTTGAAGAGTTAAAATACTCCATCTTTAAAAAACCTTTCTTTAAAATTTTCGATGCTCATAGACCATCAACAGGTTAATGTTTAACAGATTAAGAGAAAAACTTTAGTGGAGGCAGATTTGCACCTTTTACATAAACGAACTTCAGTTCTTTATAGCTAAAATGCTTATAAAATAAAATATAAAAACAAAATCCTCTACAGTGACATGGAAAAAAAAATCAACCACACAAAATGTATTTCTAATAATAGTATTTTCCTGATTATCAGTCATTATCACCCTCTCTCTCATGCCTTTCAGATGGAGTGGTTCTTTCTCCCTCCGACAGAAACAGAGCCAAAACTCTTCCCACATCAGGGCTCTCTGAGCAGTCATCGGCAGCATGGGGACGGGACATTTTCTCTGTCCTCTCACCTGTCAGTCCCCCCCAGTTTTTCACCAGGAACCAAGATTACCTGCAAGGTTTCCCACCCAGCACTGGATGATCCACTATATATCAGTATAGTACTAGAAAGCCCCCAACCAGGTATGTATCTGCTGCAAACTGCAAAGCTAATGTGATTTTAGTAACCTATCAATATAGTGAAATAATTTCAAAGAGCCTAAGAAACACAGTCACATGTACTTAATAGGCTGTTTAGATAATGTTCAGTGCAAGAAAAGCACAAAGTTGACCAAACTGTTAGACTTTTAATGTTTAATATAAATATTCTCGATTATAAAAACTTTACTTTTTAGTTTTCTGATCACTTTTTCAAAATAGAATTTTATACCTCAGTTAAGTTGGCCTATTTCAAGAAAATGTACTTGAGTTTATACCTTTAGCATTTCTTTCTCTTGTGTCTAAAAAAAAAACTTTGTTGTTTTATCTCTCTGCAGATTCCTATTGGTGGGTTCTTGGTTTCCTTGTCGTCACTGTTCTCTTCTTCTACCAGGTTATGAAATAAAACGACTCCCAGATCACTTTGACTTGAAACTGAGCCTTGAATATAATTTCTTTTGTAAATGTAAACATGTTCAGGTGTCATTTATTTGGTTGCTAAATTTGAAGCTTTTTATTTGTGGGATTTGTTTAACTTTTTTATGCTGTAATTTGCTGACAGTTTTTGCAAGAAAAGCACTTTCTTTTGCAGATAAGCCACTGGAGGTTCTTCATGTCTGTCATAACTTTATATACTTTTAACTCTTCAGGTTACTTATTTAAAGTAGGAAAGACTGATCTCTAAGTCGCTAGAACTAAATTTTCTAATGGGAAGAAATAATAGGACCTTGCACTTCTCTCCTGGGGTTAACTTTAAATGTCATTGCAGTATAAATCCAACAAAAACAGCAGCCTAGATTAACCCTTCTCTGAAATAAATTATATAAGGTATTTTATAGAAACTTGAATGTAAAACATGAAAAATCCTGTATGTGTTTTTTTTTATGTGTGTGTGTTTAAACTGTGTTTTGCCATTGTTCTCTATAGATCATACGTTTTGCAGAAATTGACTTTTTTTTTTACATTTTACTTTATAATTGGTAAAAAGACAATGTGAGAAGGATTTTTTTTATTATTAAAAAAACAACATGGTTCTTAATATTTGATGGGAAAAGCATTTGCCAGCTTTAAGTCAAACTGCTCTTTAGCACAGAAACAATTCATCGGATTAATTGCAATTAATCGATTATTTAAATAATCGTCAACTAATTTGGTAATCGATTAATCATTAGCTGCAGTATAGAGGCTTTAAAACGTATCTTTAGCTAACAGAGCAACCCAATTAGAGCAGTAACTATACCAAAATTGTTTAAAAAATATTAACATGTTAATTTAAGATAACAAAAACTTTTCCGTCTGTCAATATGTTCTAACCAGAACTCCTCAAGTGAAAAAGTTTTGGTTTCACCTTGTCTAATTTCAGAAAAAGTCTTCTGCAGTATAGTCAGATATATTCGGATAGCAAAAGGATAGGAACCTTTTGCTATCCGATTGTTAATCGATTAATTGAAAAAATTATAGACAGATTAGTCAATTTGGCAAATTAGTTGCAGCAGCCTTACTTCTCTTATAGCTGCTGAGATGCTTTTACCACGTTTCCAATGCTGCTATTTTTGGTAATGAGGTGAAAGTCCTTGAAGCATGAAGGCCTCCGTTCCATCCTCCTTATCTTTATCTCCTTCCTAGACTATCAGGTTTAAGCTCTGCTCCACCAAATGAATGTATTTCCCAATGGAGAAACATGTTGTTAAAATAAAAATAAATAACTTTAATTCAAAATTGTCAGAGATGTGAATAATTTTAACCGTAATTGTGAGCTAACTGTGAGTTACTGGATTTATTTAGGGGCTCTGAGACGGATTTTTGCTGCTCAAGCCAATATAACCAGCTTTACTAAACCGATAATCATTCAGTTGTAAGTTTAAAAATCCTAAAATTCAGTCATAATGAGTCAGTTTTGAGAAATAATAAAATTATTATAGATAGAGAACTTTAGCAGAGGGACTGTGTGATGCAGTATGATTAGTGTGAAATGATGATCCTGTGGAAACAAAATGTGTTAATTTACTGGTGGCAGAAAGATAAGGTACTTTGGAAATAAATGTTGCTTTTTTTTATCTATTCTAATTTGCACTTAAGAAAGCCTACTTTCGAGGTCTTTTTTTTTTAAAAAGCTCCAATTGTTTAGTGTTTCAATCTCTTGTCATATTTTTCCTGCATTGTCTTTTTCTATTTTATCGTTTCAAATAAACTTATTAAGCCTACATTGGTTAGACTGTCTGATGTAATCAATTTTTTATTTTTTTTTTACTATATGGTACGGCTTTGACTTTGGGGGATAAAAAAAGGAAGCAATTAAGAGAATAATAAGCTTGAATTATTTTGTAGTTGAATCCAGTCTGTTGGAGACAATAAGCACAAAAGGTCGATAACTTCATTTTATTAAATTAACTTCTTGAAATGAAGAATATGCATATTAAATATCACTATACGGGCTAAAATTTATGGTAATGGTAAATGGTACTTATAGTATATAGCACTTTTTCAAGTCAGGAGACTTGACCTAAGTGCTTTAGCGAGGCTGCTGTACACTGGTGCTACTGGCCCCTCTAACCACCATCAGTAGATGATATGGGTGAAGTGTCTTACCCAAGGACAACAACACTGAGAGTCAGAGTGTACCAGCAAATCCACATCTAAGTGGCTTATAAATGCTGAAGAAAGTTTATTTTAAATGCTGTCATTGGCTTATAGGCTTTTCAGGCTAAATGTTAAAAGAAAACTGCAAAGTTGATTCCTTTAAGGGTGGCGCATCTAAAACATTTGTCAGGGGACAAATACTTCAAAGCACTGTATATTCAGAAGGAAAAATAACCATGTGGTTATGTAAGATTGTTTTCAAACAATTAAGTGATGCAAACGTAGAAGAAAGACAAGAAGCCTGAAGGAGCATTTTGGTGCAGTTCAGATCATGATTTGTTTATTGGCATCAGCAAAAGTGGTAAACATGCATTTGGTTTTTTTTTGTGTGCAAATTTCAGTTGCATCTCTTATCCTACCGTATGTTCAAGTCACAAAACATAATCTCTTCTTTTTTCATATGATGAATACCTGCAAACATTGTTGTACAATATCAGCAGATCATTAGGGCTTAGCGCTACAGTTATGCATAAATGCATTTTAACTATGAGTTTTTCATATAATTGATTTTTTCCACTACTTTGAAAATCAGTTTAGAGGAAATGAAATGGGTTTAAGGTACAACCAACAGTCTTCTTAGACCTGAAGTAATTGATATAAACACATTTTCAGGAGCATAAATTTCCATGTCTGTACAATGTTTCTCTTATATTAACTCTACATGATTCCTAAAATGATTTACTACAGAAGCAGTTGGTTGCAGTCCTTTGGAATAATGTTCTCAAAAGCAAGTGACACATTTTGGCAAACTGAGCGTTGTTGCATTGCACATTGCATAAGCAGTAAGTATATGATCAGAAAGACATTATACACAGGTCCGTAAACCACTAAGGAAAGAAAATATACAATCGGCAGTAAGATTAAGAAATGGCAGATACACAGGTCACACAAAAAAGGATACTGTTTGCCATGCAGGTTAGAAACAAATGCCTCAGACTGACTGTTATTTTACTGCAGGTGACCAATGAATGTCGGCCTGGGATGATAGCCACGTGGCTCTCTGGGGTAATCCTAATTCTGTCCTTGTTTAGCTTCTAATGCACTCTGAAAACAACAAACTCACCGACTGTGCTGCTAATGCAACGCTGAACATTCATCCGTCTATGGCTGCAACTCTGTCCAATCAGAGTTAAGAGGCCTTCCTATGGGTCCTTTCAGGCGCACAGATTGTCTGTCAGTAGCCGATTCACATGTCATTCTTTCTTTGCGTTTGACTGTAATGCCACAACCTAAGGTAGAAACCCCCAGTGTGGCTGATTCATCTCTTTCTGCCTGTAGATCATGACTCATGTTGCATGTATTTATGCAGGAAACTATGCTCCTATACTCCTACATTTTTTTTCCTGAATCAACCTTTTTGGCTAAACTTTTCACACAGGCTTTCTCCCTTTTTTGCATTTCTCCTTCTTTGTCAACCCTGCGAAAGTTTGAGACTGAGGTGAGAGAAAGTTGTATAGGAAGTGGAATAAATGACATGTAAAAGCTTCAGAGCGGAGGTTCATGATTGCACATGTTGGAATAAAAAAAACTGAAATAAATTTACTCCTAGTCTAATGTGTTAGTAATAAGCAATGACTAAAATAGTTTGGGTGAATTGTGGGTATTAGTTTATCATGTTACTATCAATTTACAAATGAAGGTCTCTTTAGAACAAAATGACAAAAAGGTGGACAAGCTTAACTGAGAACTGTTTTTTTCAATCTCCCCTTAGTTCTGTCTACCTTCTCCTTTTGTCGTTCTATCTTTCCTCCTGGTTTCCGTCTGTCAGCAGCAGCCTTCAATTATACATGAGGGCCAGAGACTGGAGAGAGTGAGCGAGACCTCGTGGAGAAACACTGAGAGAAAGCAGCAAGGAGGAAGGTGGGGAAAGGGGAACAAAGGGAGCAGAGACACAAATGAAGGAACACTACTTTTTAAGTGGAGGAAGGTTCAATGGAAGACTGTGTGAAGAGAGAGAAAGGCTGATTGAAGGGAGGAGTGGCGCTTGGTATTCTTCATTTTTTTTCTTCTTCCCTGTAATGTTGTCCTTCGGTTTGAGTTCATCTGTGATGATGGGAGGAGCTTAATAGAAGAAGTACACTGCGAAAGAAGGGTAAAGTGGAAGCCATTAGACTAATGCTTCTTGGATAGGGGAAGCAAAAAAAAAAATATGTAGAAAAGATTTAAACACGTGCGCAGCAAGTATGAAAAGCCATTATCAATGGAGCACCGATTCAACGAATCACCATGACAACATGTAACAGGAATTGCCTATTTCACCCCACAAAGTAGAGATTTAAATGCAGGAATGCAAAAAATAAAATAAAAATAGGAGAATGTGTTTAAAAGACAGAAACAGTGCTACAGGTACAAAAGAGAAGAAGGTGGCGAAGGCGAAGACTGTTGTTAATGCATAAGTTTACATAAAGTGGGCTATGGTATGCCATTTCTACATTTATTGAAAGCACTCTCCTCTGTTTTTCCATTTGTATATCACTAAATAAGATTCTTCCTATTCAAAATCACATTCCTAGACCTAAATGTAATAATATAGTTTCCAAATTACATTTCTGTAGCAGAAACTGAATTGTAGAAAGTAAAAAAAAACAAAATTCTACTATTAAGAATTAAGTGTTATATATCTAGAAATGTTAACCCATTTTAATTGGCCGTTCTGACATTTATCAGCTTGACTGAATATGTATTTAAGATATCTGAAAAACATTTTTGTATAGTTAAAATAATACAAATGCTGACCAGTAATATTTGGAATATGGAGATATGAAATTAATTTATAGACATTCAGAATGTTTATTGTGGATGTGGAGAATGTGATTTTGTTTGAAATCATTAAGATAAATCAGGAATACATATTCAGTCAAACTAGTAGATATTAAAATGCCTTGCCAGAGCTGTTGTTACCATGAGAATATTACTGGATTATTTCTTGAATGGTAGTAGATCAATGTTTCTATTTAGGTGAAATCTTCTGGCAGCAGGTGATGATGAAGAACAAAATGTTTTTCTAAATATATAGAACCTGTGGATCGTCTCATGCATTCCTCCTCATGCTGATTCAGTCTCTTCTACACAGTTAAGTGGATTTTTGCAGACAAACGGCCATTATAAGTTTAGGTATAAATATTTAAGCCTCAGTGAAAAAGTGCAGATCATTCTTTAATAAGATCCTCATCAAACTGACATGCAATGTTTGTTTTCAAAGCTTAATGTGTAATGGACCTACTGAATGATATAGATAGATAGATAGATAGATAGATAGATAGATAGATAGATAGATAGATAGATAGATAGATAGATAGATAGATAGATAGATAGA